TTCTTAGTAAAATAATGGCGTTTAATATTAAAAAAAAAAATTTAATCATATACGACGTCGATTTTATGCCTAACCGACGTCATATATGATAAAAAAAAATTAAAAAAAAATTGCATACGACGTCAGTTATTTAAATAACCGACGTCGTATGTCGTTCTCGTTATTATTATTTTTTTTTTTAGTGATTTACAACGTCGATTTATAATAAAAAATCGACGTTAAATGATATTTTTAAATATTTTATAAATTTATTTGACTTTTAACGTCGGTTTTATAAAAAACTGACATTATAGACTCGGCGTTATATGTTATTTATGTAGTAGTGACTCTTCAACCCTTAATACTACATTTTGGTTTAAAAGTATAATGTATATTTTTTTATCAAAATTATTATATTTTTCTTTTCTAATAAGTAACAATGGACCAATTTATCACTTATTATTACCCTTAGGAGCGTTTGGTTCTTTATAATAAAAAATCGACGCTAAATGATTTTTTAAATATTTTATAAATTTATTTGACTTTTAACGTCGGTTTTATAAAAAACTGACATTATAGACTCGACGTTATATGTTATTTATGTAATAGTGACTCTTCAACCCTTAATACTACATTTTGGTTTAAAAGTATAATATATATTTTTTTTTATCAAAATTATTATATTTTTCTTTTCTAATAAGTAACAATGGACCAATTTATCACTTATTATTACCCTTAGGAGCGTTTGGTTCAAGTGATTAATCTTGGTAATGTTATATTACCTCAAAGTTGATATGACGGTAATATTTCAATGTAATATGATTATCTCTATTTCATGGTTGCAGTAGGCGCTAGGCGCTAGTCGGGCGCCCGGACAACGCCTAGCGCCTAGGCGGTCTAGGCGGCGCCTAGGCGGAATCTAGGCGGCGCTAGGTGAGCGCAAAAAAAACAGTGGTAGACTTGCAGTTTGACAATTTTAATGAGGTTGTTTTCAACATTTAATGAAATAACACATCCAAATAAATGAATTAATGATAATTCATAAGTCATAACATCAAAACAATGATTTAAAAAAAAAACATTAAAACAAATTAAAAATTAAAAATACTCAAATACTTCAATCATCCAAAGATCCAAAGTATCAAACTAGTCTACGAGTGTATATGTCATATTATATATATGTATGCGCGCGCGCGCGCACACACACACACACAAATATATATATATATATATATATATATATATATATATATATATATATATATATATATATATATATATATATATAAAATAAAAAAATAGACCGAGCGGATCGAGTTAACTCGACCGAAATGGACGAGTTAACTCGACTAACTTAGACGCTAGGCGGCCAAATCGGCCGAGTTAGGCGCTAGGCGGCCGGTAACCTAGGCGGGCGCCTAGGGCGAAAATCGCCATGGTCTAGAGGCGCCTAGCGCCTAGCTTAGGCGGGGCCTAGACGGGCGCCTAGACCGATTTTTACAACCCTGCTCTATTTTCTTATAGTTTGATTACCTCCATTTTCTTATAGTTTGATTACTTCCATTTTCTTATAGTTTGGTTCAAGTAATTAATCTTGGTAATGTTATATTACCTCAAAGTTCACGAACATGTTTGTTAATGCTTGTGAACAATAAATAATCTATGTTTATAAACAATAACCAAACAAACACCACAACAATTATTAAAACACACACACACACACACATATATATAAAGAATTAGGTTCAAATGCGGTTGGTGCGCCCAGGTACGGTTGTGCGGTGAGAGGAGAGCCATTGATTTTGATTAAATCAATGTCCAAGATTTACCAAAATTAAAAAAAAAATGCGGTGATAATTTGGTAATTTTTGCATATAGGTTAAATTTAAGGTGCATGAGTTTTGTTCTTTGGTGTCGTGATTTTGTGTGTAAGGTGCGTGAATTTTGTGTTTAAGGTGCGTGGGTTGTGTACTTAATGTGAATAGTTGTTGAAACTTAAGGTGCGTGAGTTTCCTACTTAAGGTGCGTTGTTTTTCTTCTTAAGGTGCGTGATTTGTATGCTTAAGGTGCGTCAGTTATATGAAACTTAAAATGAACCATTTTAAAACCTTAGGTGCGTGGTTTGTGGTCTTAGGGTGCTTTGTTGTATTCAAATATTTTGTTTGTGTGCTTAAGATGCGCTATTTTAATACTTAAGGTGCGTCATTCGCACATAAACCCTTCAATATATATATATATATATATATATATATATATATATATATATATTAGTTCAAAACTGATATAAAGCTAGGTGGTCGGTCAATTCATTCAGAGTGAGAAAGTCATGTCCCATTCGCTTTAGCGAGGAATGGGCAATCCAGCTGTAGACTGGCGTCCACCATGCAATTCCAGCTGAAGACGTCGACCTGCTGTGGAACGGCTACGTGGGACCCTCTGGATAACATGCAAATCCCATGCCGTTCCAGCTAACAAGAAACGACCTCAGCACTGCTGCAAAAGTGGAATCTGTTTCTTGGGCGGCCCGCGCCCGAAAGCTAATTGTTCCATTCAGAGGTATGTACTTTTTCTGTGTTCCTAGTATTTATATTGGATCAACTCCATCCGATTTTACCATGGAACTCTTTTGCTTAATCCTTGGTGTGTTTTGGTTTGTTTATAGTAATCAGTCAAATTAAACATGAGCCAATCCAATGAAGTTGCTGCATTTCCACATAATTAAGAGGACTCCTCGTCTGAATGAGATCGAGGATCCTCGATCTCTTCTATGTCCAGAAGATCGATCTGTTGCTGCTCATCCTTGGCACGATCTTGAGATAGGTGATTATTCTTCTCCACGACTGTTTTATTCTGCTTAACACACGCTTAAATTTGATGTTTCCATTAATTTCTTTTTTTGTTTTATTTGTAGGAGCTGAAGCACCCAAAAACTTTCAATGTTGTAAGTAGTCTTTCTGCTTTTATGTGGACTGGATTTTCACCTATTTGATTGATTGATGATTGGCATATTTCTTCCATTACTAAGCTTAAGATCATGAGATGATGTTATGACTGGAGTATACCTTCGGCTGCATTGATTTGTGACTTTGTGCTGCATTTTTTACAGGTTATTGAGATAACAAAAGGGAGCAAAGTCAAATGCGAACTTGACAAGAAAACTAGTCTGATTAAGGTATGATAGTTTAAGAATGGATTTAGTTCCTAAGTTGAACTTTATACATAAAATTAGTTGCCAAAGTTTCTGAATTTAAGCACGTTTAGACCATCGAAATAGAATTCACCTTGTTTCTTTAAAGCCTTAACCATAAGTAAATACTCTATTTTGATTTAGAACTCTCAAACTGCTATACATTAGATGTGAGAACACATTAACCAGGGAAGTTTCCTAGGGAGGAATACTAGTTCTATGTCCTTGGTTTAAACGCCTTGTTGCTACTAGTCCCCTTGAGACACTACTCTGACTAAGGAGTTGGTATTTAATGGAACTTTGTCTCGACCAACTTTCCTGAGAGTGTACATGGAAATTGTCTATTACATGTCAGTATAGTTGGTTTGTTAGGCTTTAAATTCTCCTTTTGTATTGAAGCATGCATGAAGGCATGAACACCTTTCGTACTTGTAGAATAACTCATTTTCTTAAATCTGTCTTTTCGTACTTGTACAAGGAGGTGGCAGTTAACGAGTTTCTGCCTTGGGATACTGCTTTTGAGGCTATTCAGTACTCCATGTAAGATTTACATTTCATATGAACCGAATCATTATTTGAGGAAATCCATATCAATATGAGTGTGAGATGCTTCAAATTCATCTGCAGTAGATTTTGACTGTTGTGACATTATATTGTTTGCAGGGACACATAAGAGCGCTCAACAACCCTGAAAAAACTCTGTATTGCTGTGGTACTCTGTGTCATATTTATGACGGTTGAAGTTATTGGAGGTATTAAAGCAAACAATGTTGCAATATTGAGGGACGTATAGTAGCTCATTTGTTATTAGATGTTGCAGCTTTTTCAATATCATTGTGGGTTCCAGGATGGGAAGCTACCCCGCGCCAGTCCTGTGGGTTTTTTTAGGATTGAGATTCTTGAGGCGTTGTTTTCTATTCAAATGATATGGCTTCTTGCTGGGATCCTGAATTGTTTATGAGGCCGTTGATAGACTGATAAATGATACAGGTAAAGTCTAGGGATCTCGGCCTCAAGTTTGCAGTTTTTGTTTTTGGATTAGTGGTTAATATAATTATATATGGTTGTCTTGCTTGATCATGACCATGGCAATGATCATGGGCATGGGCATGGAGGGCATGATCATGTGCATAGCCATGATGGTGACGATGTGCAAAATCATAGAGTTATAATCGTTCAACACCATGATCATCACGATGGGCATTCTGGCCACAATGAGCACGAATTAGAACATTCGGAGCCCCTACTTAAGGCTTGCTCTGAGGGTGAAAGCAGGTCAAAAAGTGGAAAGAAGGAAAGGAATATAAATGTCACGTACTCGGGTATTTTATTTAGAGCTTGGGTGTTATAATTGGTGGGGCAATCATATGGTACAAACCAGAGTGAAAGGTCATCGGTGATCTTTTCTGCACTCTAACCTTCTCTGTGCTCGTGATGGGCACGACCATAAGAATAATACACTATCATCTAGCTAGGTTTTTATGGAGAAGAAATTGATGCAACTAGGCTTGAGGATGTGCTTTGTGAGATGGAGGAGGTTGTTGCATTTCATGAATTGCATAAATCGGCAATAACAATGGGGAAAGTGCTGTTAGCTTGGCATGTAAAGATCAAGAAAGAAGCCGATGCTGTCTGACAGTGTACTGGACAAGGTAATTGATTATTACCAATGTTACCATTCAGATAGAAAGAGAGTAGAGACGTAGAGTGTTGGGAAGATTGGAAATGTGTTTGTCATCCACAACAATCATATGGTTTTTAGAATATCCACAGCACAATGTTAGCATCCGCTTCCTTCTTGATCTTTACATGGCATTGCCCATATATATGCAATTCATGAACTGCAACAACTTCCTCTTCTCTGGGGGGTGCTTTCCATCAAAACCTCGAGGATGAGGATATTGCGTATCATTCTTATGGCCGTCCCCAGCACGAGCACAGAGAAGATTTGAGTGCAGAAAGGATCGATAATCTTCCACTCTGGTTTGTACCATATGATTGCCTCGCCAATCATCACACCCACACTCTGAATAAAATCATATCCCTAAGTATGTGAAGATAACCCCTGCACATTTATGTTCCTTTACTTCTTCTTTCCACCTTTAGAGCAAGCCTTAAGTAAGGGCTCCCTATGGTCAGAATGCCCCTCGTGATAGTCATCGTCACCATCATGACCAAGCAAGACAGCTATAATTATATTAACCGCTAATCCAAAAACAGAAACTGCAAACATCACGGATCCTCCCTGGACTTCACATATATCATTTATCAGTCTATCAACAACCTCATAAACAAGGATCCCAACAAGAAGCTATATCATTTCAATATAAACCAACCACCCATGAATCTCAATCTTGAAAAACCCATAGGATTGCACGGGTAGCTTCCCATCCTGCCGCCCACAATGAAAACAACGATATTGCAAAAACTGCAACATCTGAAAGTAAATGAGCCGCGTCCGTCAATATTTCAAGACTGTTTGCTTTAATACCTCCGATAGCGAATAATTGAAATTTTAATAAATCACTTATAAATTAATAACGAACCATATGTCAAAAATTTTCGTATAAAACAAAATATTCAAAATACAAAACAATACTAATGTAAAAAAGTGTTCAAAGAGACAAATTTATTCGATAAACAATATTGTCCTTCGTATAGATGGGAGACTTTTTAAATTTATATTAGGAGACTTTTTACATGGTGCGTGCCAAAAAGGATAAATACGTAATTAAATAAATTTAGTTGATTCATGGTCATTATGAAAAAGAATCCTAGCCCGAGATTTATTTTCCTTACATCATGTAATTAAATTTTCATTGACCCGAGCTTTCCTATGTCAAATATTACACCTAATTTTTCACCTTTTATATTCGCATTAAAGTTTGAACTTCCCTGACTAACAAACTTCATCTTAAAGTACTATACCACAATTTTGTGGCAACTTTTACTAATGGTGTTGTTTCTTTTAATGAAAAGAAACAACACCAGTTCTGTCTAACTAATTTTGTTTTTATGACGTATTTAGTTTCAATTTATATACACTGTAGTTTAATTACAATACAAATAAAGTATTATTTTGATAAATTACAGTTTCATTTGACAATTTATTTTGAAAGGAAGGAAGGGCTCGGCCCCAAACAGAAAAACTAAACAAATGACTAATCTCCCTGAGTATAGGAACCCCAGCTTGATCTCGTTGAAGCCACTCAGCAAGCTCTCCCTACGGGTAAGACGAAAATAACATCAGATCCCATTCATTGCCATAGTTTTTGACCAGCCAATCAGCAACAAGATTTTGTTCGTGAAGAACGTGGCAGCATTTCGCTAACTAGTTTTTATTGAATTTACACTCAGTATTTGAGACTTGTTATTCAATTTCATTTTATGCACACTATAGTTTTATTCAGGACCATTCCTAAGAAATTTGTGGTCCTATGCGAAAATTTAATATGGACCCTTTTTGTATAATTGTAAATATATAAAAGATATATTATATTGTACCAAAATATATAATCTATATCTATTCTATATATATATAAAAGTAAAATCCTCCTAACAAATTCCCCCCCCCCCCCCCCCCCCCCCAAAACTTTTGTAGTAAAACTTATTTGGTAAGTAAATGTCAAATGGAAATTAAATAAATAATAATAATATTAATAATAATGTTATTACCTTAAATAAATAAATTATTATACTTTCCTTTTGAATTAGTATTTTTTACCTATAAATACAAGGGCTTCTTCAATCAAAAAATCTCAAACTCATCTCTCTGCTTTCTTTTTGTATGAATTTTCTACATTTTTCTAACTATATTCTCACGTATTTCAATATGTTTTGCAGTTTATATCGTCTGGTATGAGTTTGAAGATACTTAAAGAGGTTCTGCTTCAACAAAAGGAAATTGAGGAGGAAGAGCATTTGTAACAGAACCCTATTGGTTTAGTTTTTATGGAAGATTATAGAGATGCGATCGAGGATGATAAAGACGGTAATTTTGATAATTTTGTAAGATTTTCTTAAACTTAGAGTTAGTATGTTGATTTTGAGATTTGTACATGCCATTCAAGTTTCTATGTTTTTTTTTTTTTAACAAGCAGAGCTCATTTTACAGCATTTTTATAATATATATATATATATATATATATATATATATATATATATATATATATATATATATATATATATATATATATATATATATATATCACAACTTGAGTAGAGTGTTTGTTTAACCTATTAAAAATCTCGCTATATTTGATTTTTTCTAAATTTTTTTAAAACACAAAAATAATGATTATTTAAAAAGAAGAAATAAATAACAAATAGAATTTCAGATTTTGTGTTACTCCATTCACATATTAGTATAAATAATAAAAAAAAAAGTAATAAAATAAAATACAAAGGAAATATAAAATTTTAACCAACAATTTAATTAGAGAAACCTCCCAAAAAAATCCACGTTGTACTGAACCCAGATAAAAAAATACTGGCAATAGCACAATCATAAGGATCAAAGGGAACAATGGAAGACCCAGAAATCCAGACATCATTGATGTACCGAACGGTGATGAAAGACTCAGAAATAGGAATATCATTATGAATGAAAACGGAGATTTTCTTGACACCCGAATTTAGTTTAAGGAGAAGTTTACTCTTGAGTATAAATGTCTCCTCAATGGATTTTGTATGGTCATATAGAGTGTATTTATACACATGGATGAGTTCAAAATGGCACAATATTGAAATTATAAAATGGTAAGAGATCTCAAAAAAGGTAAAACTTTCAAATTTTCAGTTAATACAAAAAATGTTATAATCGTCGAAAATATATATCTTTAACTTTAGACAAAAATTAAAAACGAAATCATAAACAATTTTAATCATTGACTATTTCATTTCTATATTTCTTGAAAAATGATGGGCATGAACAGGCTGACTCATCGTGGAATATAGTAATTATTGAATTACCATTAAAATTAGTATAGTAATGAAAGAATTATCATTTGTATGTTGACATTTTTCCCGTTTATTACTATTCAAATGTTTGATACAAAAAATTATACTATATAAACACAAAATATGCATATATGATAAATATGCAATATATATATATATATATATATATATATATATATATATATATATATATATATATATATATATATATATATATATATATATATATATGTCCCTAAGTTTTGGAGATAAACTTGGTTAGGAGGATTTTACTTTTAATTATATATAGATATAGATTATTCTCATAATTTTTCTTTCCTTCTTTTGTGTTATTATTATGATAATGTATTTAAATATTGGAAGAAAACAAATGTTATAATTAATGAAATTATTGTGGTAATTGCCACAATATTTGGTAATTACAATTAATATAATTAATAAAATTGAGAAATATATGATTTCTTCCGTAGAAATATTTGTGACAATTTCATTAAATTATAATTAATAAAATATGAAATATAATTAAAGAAATAAAATTATAAAATTAACAAAACATGAATATTTTTAATTTTTTTTAAATATACATACATATACTCTTTAAATTTCTAAATATAATTTTTTAAGTATAAATCTATCAATATAAATTATAATTAATGAAATTATATTATAGGACTTTCCTATATACATATTAATAAATATTATGTGTATATACAAAGTATTATACAATCATATAAGGATATGCATCCGATTAGAATATTTATTAATTCATGCAAAATTTAGAATTTACATTTTTTATTGATTTCTAAGTACAATTCTCTTAGTTATTATTATTCATATTTTTAAATTTCATATATAAATATGAAATACAATTTGGAATAAATCAACTTAATTATATGAATTTTTTCTATAAATTTATCTAAATATGTACATGATTAGAGATTATATTAACCATACAAAATTTTAATTTTAATTTTGTATGTTATGAAAATATATACTTGACTAAATATATAAAAGTCCAACTATATTATTATATTGTACATTTTAACATCTTTTTATTTTTTCTATATTTATTTTAAATTCATAATAACAAAAATAAAATTACGTGCAATGCATGGATAAAACACTATATTTAAAAAATACAATTTGATAAATATCATAAATTAATTAGTAAAATATCATTTATATTTATAATAATTAAATAAAAATAAATAATTCAACTATGTAAACCAATAATTTCAAAATGAAATTAATGTACAGTTACAAATAAATATAGCATGATTACATTTACTTTAATTAGTTTTAATTCCCTTAATGATATGACTTTTCTTTATCAATTTTTTGATGTGAGACTAAGTGAGTGTTTGGGTTGCGGAAAATTATTTTTTTTAAAAAATACTTACTAATAAAAAATAAATTTAAAATATTTTTTTACCCCTCATAACATGTGTAAATCTTATATTTTTTTAAAAATAGAATTTGATAAATATCATAAATTAATTAGTACATTATCCTTTCTGTTTATTGATTATAATAATTAAAAAAAATTAAATATGTGAACGAATGATTTCAAAATGAAATTAATATACAGTTACAATTAAATATAGCATGATTAGATTTACTTTAATTAGTTTTAATTTTCTTAATGAAGTGACTTTTCTTTATCAGTTTTTTTATGGGAAGCTAAGGGAGTGTTTGGATTGCTGGAAAATATTTTAAAATAAAAATACATATTAATAAAAAATATTTTTAAAATATTTTTTAACCCATCATAACATGTGTAAATGTTATATTTTTTTAAAAAAATACAATTTGATAAATATCGTAATTTCTATTTATAATAGGTAAAGAAAAAAAAATAAATAATTCAAAGATGTGAACAATGATTCACGTTGAGTTATTACCGAAAAATCAGTCTTTAATCACAGTAAATTGTATGTGACTTTTTCACGAGTCACCCATCCTGATGGTCTGATTGTTTTAACTATAGACGAGGATGAATAAAATCCCGTTACTACTACCAATGTCGTCTACAAAGAGATTTTCAATAATGTATAATTCAAGCCATTGGTATTATGTTTTTTAATATACAAAGATGACAAAATTGCTATATATCTACATAGAAAATATAACTTCCATATAAATAATTTCTATAACTGAGTTGCTAGACAACGAGTTAATTAGCCCAATTAATACAAATTATAAACACTGATATATAAAATCTCTACAGTTGCAGCAACGAATGCGTATATCTACACGTTAGCTATTAATTGAGAAATTATTTACTTGAATTCAAGCATTGATAACATCAGAAAACATAATCAGTGCAACTCAATTCTTCAATTATATTATATAATATTCGATGTTATAATTTATACAATTGTATATCAATCTAAATATTTTAAAAATATTATAACAAATTCATTCCGTGCAACGCACGGGCACAAATACTAGTAGTCTATAACAAAAAATTATCATTCAAATTTTCACTTGAAAAGTGACATTGTTCTTCTTCTTCGGGCATATTTAGATGTAAAATCATTCACCAATCCATTGAGTTTTTTCTTACAATATACTTGTTCATAAGTAAGATTTCAACAACTTCAACTTTAATGCATAAACAATAGTAATAGAAATATCCAAGACTATTTGATATTGCAATAATTGTAGTATCAAAATACAAGAAATTAGATTGTTATTCACCTATCAAAAATGTCCTAGCTAGGGTTAGTTATTGAATTAATAATTTTAAAATTTTGAATAAAATTAAAGAATTAATAGGAATAAGAGTAATTTTTGACTTTTTATATATAACAATTTTACAATACTCAAATATGTCTGCCTCAATTCCTATAAGTTATAGGACAATAACTCTATACATAAATCAAGTCCGATCCTTTAAAAATTAGGAATGTAAGCTTTCTAAAATTTTAAATCGTCTTGATTTTTTTATACATAAGTTACACCAATATTAATTTATAAAATCTAAATATATAATAATATTTTATTTTTTATTAAAAGTGCCCCCAAAATTTGGGGGCACACTATGTGAAGAAGTGCGTAAACTATTTGGGGCCCCCAAAATTTGGGGGCCCTGTGCGCATGCCCTGGCCAGGGACGACATTGGTTTTATTACAACACTACTAAAGTATAATTCTAATTCAATTACGATTTCATTGGACAATATACACTCAAATATGTGAAACTTATTATTCAATTTAATTTTATATACATTGTAGTTTCATTACAGCACACTAAAATATCATTTTGATTCAACTATAGTTTCATTTGACAATATACACTCAATATCTAAGACATGTTATTCAATTTCATTTAATACACATTTTAGTTTCATTACAACACAACTAAAGTATCATTTTAATCCAATTGCATTTTCATTTGAGTATTTGACAATGTACACTCAATATATGAGACATGTTATTCAATTTCATTTTAGATATAATGTAGTTTCATTACAACACAATTCTAATTCAATTACAATTTCATTTGACAATATACACTCAATATGTGAGACATGCTATTCAGTTTTATTTTAGATACACTGTAGATTCATTTTATTATAAGCACATCATAAATACGAGATTAGTTAAAAAAAGAAATAGCGGCCTTTTTTACCATGGTCCACACAACTTTGTGGACCATGATCCATCGTATACCAATTACAATTTTGTTGCCCTACTCGGCTACTTTAATACAAAACCAATCATTATTCTGTGGAGCATATTTTGTATAGTATAAAATAATGTACATTTAGTACACAAATAATGTATATTTAATATATTAAAAATGTACTTTGTATTTAGGGAATGTAAATTATTTGAATACTAAAAATACATTATTTTATATAATACAGTACACAAATAATATACTTATAATATATTAAAAATGTACTTTTTTTATGGTCCATACAACACTATGTGGACCATTATCCATTTATCCTTTCATGTCTTTTATTTGGGCCTAAGCAATAACAATGTCACTTAAATATTTAAAACCCAATCAAATTAAATTCTCAAATCATACCACAATTTTGTTGCCACTATAGCGGCAAATTATATTGTGAAAAAGTGTCCACCTTTGGTTCTAAAATTGTTCGTAATTATGAATATATAGTTCAAAAACAATGAACATATAGTTTTACAATTATGAACATAATTATGAACATATAGTTCTATAATTATGAATATAGAGATTCAATAATTGTGAATATGAAGTTCAAAAATTATGAATATATATCTTTATAATTATGAATATATAATTCAATAATTATGATTTATGAGACATAGAGTTCTGTAATTATGAATAAAAAGTTCAATAATTATTAATATGAAGTTCAAAAAATATGAATACATAACTTTATAATGAAATCAATAGATTTATTGATTACATCTTTTTTTTTTTTTTTCGGGGGGGGGGGGGGGGGGGGGGGGGGGGGAAGCAATTTCCTTAGACAGGAGTGTCAAATGTAGCTAAACAATCATGCTTGATAAACATTCTTAAATCAACATTCTCATTATGTAATCTCATACGATATTCTACTCAAATGCAATCTTGTGCAATATTATAGTCATAT